AAAGGACAGAGGAAAGAGAGTAAATACCTCCATGCAACATTATTGTATTGTATGCTGATCATCAATCCCAAGGGTGGGAAGACCTTGTTTCAACTGTATTAAGACACGTTAAGGCGGTAATTGGAGGAAAAAGTTTAAAAGGCACAAACTTCCAAGTTATAAAATAAATAAGCACTAGCAATGTCACATACAACATGATGACTAACACAGGAGTTAAGAGAATAAATCCTAAGAGGTCTCATCACAAAGAAAAAAACTTACATTCCTTTCTTCTTTCTTTCCTTTTTATTGCATCCATAGAGGAAGGATGTTAGCTGGGCCTTTTGTGGGAATCATTTCACAATATATGTCAATCACGCTGTTCACCTTAAACTTACATGGTGATGCATGTCAATTACTTCTCAATAAAACTGGGGGAAAGAAAAAACTGAAAATACCCTGGACCTCCCTTCTGTCCTCAGCAATCACTTTTTCTGCCTCAATTACAGACTTTCCAAAAGAAGGCTTTCGTCCTGAACGCTTTTTCCTAAAAAAGCCATCTGTTGGTTTCCTTTCATAATGATTTTTTTATAATGATTTTTTAAGTCAAATTTTAATATTTTGTTATTGTTGGTATCCAGTTGGCTCTGCAGGCAGGCGTTGATCAATTTCCCTTGGCTTGTCAAGTTCACTTCTTCCTAAGATCAAGGCAGGAGAATGGTCCAGAACCCTGAGCTTGAGGCAGAGTCTCCTTGGTCATATTAAAAAGCAAAAGATTTTCCCCAGGAGACTCTTAACTATAGGAAACAAACTGAGGGTTGCCAAAGCAGGTGGGGGGTGGAGGGATGGGGTAACTGGGTGATGGGCATTAAGGAAGGCACTTCATTGGGGCACTTGGGTGGCTCAGTGGGTTAAAGCCTCTGCCTTGGGCTCAGGTCATGATCCCAGGGTCCTGGAATAGAACCCCGCATCAGGCTCTCTGCTCAGCAGCGAGCCTGCTTCCCCCTTCTCTCTCTGCCTGCCTCTCTGTCTGTCAAATAAATAAACAAAATCTTTAAAAAAAAAAAAAAAAAAGGCACTTCATAGAATGAGCATTGGGTGTGATATGCAATCACTAAACTCTACTTCTGAAACTAATAATTCACTATATGCTAATTAACTGAATTTAAATGATTTTTAAAAAATAAAAGCAAGGAATTTTCTAGGAATACTTAGCCCCAACCCTTGTCCCAGAGCTAAGTCATAAAACAAACCCACCTGAGCCGCAGCTGGGTACTTAAGGAAACACCAACTGGTCTAAGTCCCTATGTACATACCATGTAAAAATCACAGTACCAAGCACTTTACCTAAATAAAGTTATTTATTCACTGCAATAAGCCTAGGTGACAGGTATGACTATTTACCCCCACTTTGCTGGGATTTCCAGAATGGTCAAGTAACTCACTCGGTATCACACAGTTTTATAGAGCAGAGTCAGGATCTGAACTCAGGCTGTCTGGCTCCAGGCCTGCATTTAAACCAGGCTGTAGGACCTTTTGGGTGGAAACCAGCTCATTACCTCTTTGTTGCAGGATCACTAACGTTCAAGGACCAGAAATTTAATTAGGCCAAAAATCATTTGCTCTGACAACAAAAGCTGGACTATCTCCCAGGAAACCCCCTTCCCAGCTCCCTCATTAGGACCAAAAAGTTCACAAAACTTGCTCTTTGAACATCAAAACAAAAGGCGCATGACTTGTAAATTAAAAAAAAAAAAAAAATCCATGGAGATAACTCAAAAGTTAAAAATTAAGAGAGACACAGCCCCTTCGCCTTGCCCTCCCGCTCCTCCTCAACCTCCAGAAGAGTCTGGGTGAAAGGCGAGGGCCAAGGGAGCTGGATGCAAGGAATCTTCAGAGGCTACTCCACAGTAAGAGGAAAGCAGGCAGGGTGAGGGTAGGCGGGTGTTCCTAAGGAAATCCAGATCCCAGTCAGGGCTGGCTGCGAGGCTTCCCGGAGTCACTCTGCACACACACACAACATCCAGGAATGACTTAGCACCAAAACACCCGTAGATCGCTTCAGAGAAGGGCTGAGAATACACGTCCAAGTTTGGGGACTAAACTTCAGAAACACGGAGCACAAGCTGTCCACACCCACCTCCCTCCCACTCCCGGCCTCCCCACCAAAGACCACACCCCTCCCGGAGAGCGGGAGGAGGGTGGGCCGGGAAGGGCCACGCGATGGTCCCCAGATGGGATCAGTATGGAACAAGGAGGGAAGGGGTGCAGGACTGGGCGAAGGAGACCTCAAATGAGCTAGGAAAAGAACTCAAAGGAGCGGGAGTATGAAAAAAAGGACCAAAATGTTAAGAAGCAAGGACCAGAGAGGGACACTGAGAGCGTAACTGGGAACCACTGGTGACTGGAACAGCAAAGCACCGGGGGACAGGGCACGAGGGAATGGGAGGGGCGGGGAAGACAAAGAGGCTGGAGAACCCACCGTCCTCTGGGGACCGAGAGCCACGGGGGACACGGGGTTCAGGGGTCAGCCAACTCAGAGTGTCCAGAGACGACACCCTGCCCGTGTGCAGGCTGGAGCGACTGCACACCAGGGGCCTGGGAAATGGGAATGACGGCGGAGCTGGGGGGCCCGGAACTGGACCTGGGACTGGGGGAGGGGGGTGTCCCTGAGTTAAGAGGGACTGAGAGCCTGGAGGTCTGAGGACGCGGAGACTGGTGACACGGCGAGGGGGTCAGAGGACTGGGAGAGACTGGGGGTCTGCGGACAGGTGTCCAGGAGCCGGTGGTAAGAGGTGGACAGGACGCAGGGGACGGGGAGTGGCTGGACTCGGGACGCCAGAGAAGTGCAGGTGACCGGGGGCCAGCTCCCGCGCGTCCCGGGGGTCTGCGAAGAGACGCGACCAGGGTCTGCGAGCGAGCGCGACTCGGGGGCCGGAGTGTGCAGCTGGAGCGGCGGGAGCCGGGGCAGCCGGGCCGGGTGACAGCGGCAAAGCCGCCACTCACCGCTCATGGTGCCGCTCCCGGGCCGGTGCCTGCGCCGCGCCGCCGCCACTGCCGCCACTGCCGCCGCCGGGCTCCAGACAGGCCGGGAGACAGCGCGCCGCCCCGCCCGCCCGCCCCGCCCCGGAAGTGGAGCGCCGCCGCCACGGACCCGCCCCCCGACCCGGAAGGTAAACACGGGCGCCGGCGCGGCAGGACCGAGACCTTCGCGGGGCTGGTGGGCTCGGCCTGGGCGGGACCGAACTGGACGTTTCTGTGCGCTCCTGGGTCCACAGCTGTATTGGGGAGGCCGTGAACGGGCCACGAGAAATGAGCCAACACCGTTCCAGAGAGCAGCAGGAGCTGAGAAGGAAAATAAAAAAGGGTAATGGACCAAAGCGTGGAAACCGGGGAGATGGACAGTACCGGAGGGCGCCTTTAAGAAGACGATCTTTGAGCTGAGACCTGGACCATGGCTGGGAGACGGGCCCGGGAAGATGCGCAGGAACGGCGTGCCAGAAGGAACACCAAGGGCAAAGGCTCTCCCTCAGGGCTTGACGGAGCCAGAGGGAGGGTGAGAGAGGGGAGGTAGGAGAGCTGGATGGAGGACCTTGTGGGCCTGGTGAGGGTGGTGGGGTAAGGAAATGGGAAGCCATTGCAAGAATTTAAACAGAGGAATGAGACGATCTGAATTAGCTCTTAAGACCGTCACTCCTCCTGGGTTCAGAATGAATTGTAGTGGGGCAGGGTGGAGAAAGGGCACCTGGTTAGGGAGACATTGCAGTCAGTTTCCCAGCAAGCCTCACGTTTGGGGCTAGGGTGGTGGCGTTAGAGATGAAGGTGGATGGATGATGTTGCCAACCCGTGTTCGTAATAGGAAGCTCAGATTACTGTCCCACTTTCTACATGGGGGAGAGGGGACCCAGAAAGGTTGAAAGGGCATTTTGCCTGCAAGAGTAAAAAAAAATACATTTTACATCACAACCCAGTATACACATGCATATATTTAAGGAGATGTTTAACAAAACAATTCCATGGGTAATGTACTCTCTTCCATTTTTCTTTCTTTCTTTCTTTCTTTTTTTCCTTTGTGCTAACTGAGACAGTTGATTGATGCAGGTAATAAGTCTTGATCCGCAGTCAAAAACACTGAATTGGGGAACAGGTCCCACAGGGAAATGGAGCCAGAATTCCAGCCCAGTTCTGTGTGACCCACAGTCCCATGGTCTTCCTACTACACCGCCTCTCAACACGCAACCTCTGGACCCCCTGTGAATGTATCTTTTGGATACAGCAGAAGTCAAGAGCTCTTTGGAAAAGGCTGCCCAGCAGCGTTATTTATGAGACGGAAAGATTGGACAGCACCGCAGCCCAACTACAGAAGAGCTGAGCAAATCATTGCTCACTTCACAAGGAATCTCTTGTAGTAGTTGAAAATGCTAATGATGAAGATGGAAACATGGGGAAAGGCCAATGATAATGCATTAAGTACAAAAAAAAGTCCCATGCAAAATGGTCTGTATGCCATGATTACAATCATGTCAAAACATGGCCATGTGTAGGGACTGAGAGAATGGAGAGATGAAAATATTTGTGTGTTTAGTTGGTGGGTTTTCTTTGCCATTTTCAAAATTATACTCTCTAGTTGTTGTTGATTTGTTACTTCAAAGAGTCTATGTGCCTAAATTGACCCCCCCAGCCTCTCCCACCCCCAGAAGCCTAGTTTAGATCCTCCTGCCTTGTGACTCTTGGTGGAGTATCACACACCTGCTTTATGGACTTGTTGCGAGGATAATGTGTTCTACCTTTTTGTAAGTCCTGTACCTTTCCGTCATGGCCCTTGAGGCAAGATAAATGGAGTGTTGCGAGCTTGTTTTACCTATTCTACTCTTAACCACCCCCTTGAAACACTGTAATTCCTTTTCTCTGAGATTTTCGCCTGGTCCTCAAAGAATAAGAATCAAAAGCTGAAAGTCTACAGCTCTTGTTAGCCTTAAAAAACTGAACTTTTGGGGCGCCTGGGTGGCTCAGTGGGTTAAAGCCTCTGCCTTCAGCTCAGGTCATGATCCCAGGGTCCTGGGATCAAGCATCGCATCAGGCTCTCTGCTCAGTGGGGAGCCTGCTTCCTCCTCTCTCTCTGCCTGCCTCTCTGCCTACTTGTGATCTCTATCAAATAAATAAATAAAATCTTTAAAAAAAAAAAACCTGAACTTTTTCGTTTAGTTTGGAGGAGGAGGAGAGATACTAGTGGAGGGGAGGGGAGCAGGAAAAGGGCATGTGAGAAGCTAGGAGCAGTATTCCATATGGCGTTCTTGTAACAGCCGTAGAACAAGAAAGGAGTGTGTGTCTGCTTTCAGACTACAATTCAAGTGGATTAATAAAAATCATTACAGCAATGTAACTCAAAGTATTTATTATGAACCAGATACTTTCATGAAAAAATTTATATATATATATACATACACATGTATGTATGCAAATGGGTGTGTCGGTGTGTGTTCATTTAATCCTTAAAATAACCTTGTAAGTAGATACTATTATTCCCATTCTACAGGTTGGGAAACTGAGGTACAAGTGATAAAGTAACTCTCACAGTCACCCAAAGTCTCTAACTTGTAGTACAAAGACAAGATTTAAGTCCAAGCAATCTGGCTCCAAGAGCCAATACCTTAACCCTAGTACTTTATTGTTTCCTGTGGTCCTCCAGGGCCTGGAATGGAACCTTGGAATGGCCCCCAATGAGTAAAAAGGGTTCACGAAGTTTTCCCATATCCCAGACCTGACACAGAGGCCACAAAGCCCGAAGACTTGGAGGTCTGTGCTGTGGTGTCAGTGGGCATCTTAGCAATGACCAAAGTCAACATATTACCAGAGGGCAACATCACCTGTTGCATAACCCCAGAAAGGGAACACCTCAGGACCTTTGCACAACCCCTGGAAGGGAACCCCCATCTCCCCCACTAATGACTAAAATTGTAGCCCAAAGAGATGGGGAACTCAAATGAACTTAAACTGATGTGAGAAGAAAAAAATAAATAGAAAAAAATATAAATAAACAGGTCTGGGTTTAAATCCTGGTTCTGCCATTTACTGGTTTTTGTTTTTGGTTCTTGCTCTGACTCAATTTCTGCCATCATCTGTAAAATGGAAGTAATAATTGTCCACCTACCTTGTGATTTGTTGTATGCATTAAATGACCTAGTACAGGTAAAGCAATAGAACTATCCTGGCACAAAAAATGAACTATTAGGATTTCATCAAGATCAAAAGCTTTTGCACAGCAAAGGAAACAGTTAACAAAATCAAAAGACAACTGACAGAATGGGAGAAGATATTTGCAAACGACATATCAGATAAAGGGCTAGTGTCCAAAATCTATAAAGAACTTAGCAAACTCAACACGCAAAGAACAAGTAATCCAATCAAGAAATGGGCAGAAGACATGAACAGACATTTCTGCAAAGAAGACATCCAGATGGCCAACAGACACATGAAAAAGTGCTCCATATCACTCGGCATCAGGGAAATACAAATCAAAACCACAATGAGATATCACCTCACAACCAGTCAGAATGGCTAAAATTAACAAGTCAGGAAATTACAGATGCTGGCGAGGATGCGGAGAAAGGGGACCCCTCCTACACTGTTGGGAATGCAAGCTGGTGCAACCACTCTGGAAAACAGCATGGAGGTTCCTCAAAAAGTTGAAAATAGAACTACCCTATGACCCAATAATTGCACTACTGGGTATTTACCCTAAAGATACAAACATAGTGATCCGAAGGGGCACGTGCACCCGAATGTTTATAGCAGCAATGTCCACAATAGCCAAACTATGGAAAGAACCTAGATGTCCATCAACAGATGAATGGATAAAGAAGGTGTGGTATAGGGACGCCTGGGTGGCTCAGTTGGTTAAGCGGCTCCTTCGGCTCAGGTCATGATCCCAGCATCCTAGGATCGAGTCCCACATCGGGCTCCTTGCTCAGCAGGGAGCCTGCTTCTCCCTCTGCCTCTGCCTGCCTCTCTGTCTGCCTGTGCTTGCTCGCTCTCTCTCCCTCTGTCTCTGACAAATAAATAAATAAAATCTTAAAAAAAAAAAAAAAAGAAGGTGTGGTATATATATACAATGGAATACTATGCAGCCATCAAAAGAAATGAAATCTTGCCACTTGCGATGACGTGGATGGAACTAGAGGGTATTATGCTTAGCAAAATAAGTCAATCGGAGAAAGACAACTATCATATGATCTCCCTGGTATGAGGAAGTGGAGATGCAACTTGGGGCGTTAGGGGTGTAGGAGAAGAATAAATGAAACAAGATGGGATCAGGAGAGAGACAAACCATAAGTGACTCAATCTCACAAAACAAACTGAGGGTTGCTTGGGGTCGGGGGCTCGGGAGAGGGGGGTGGGGTTATGGACATTGGGGAGGGTATGTGCTATGGTGAGTGCTGTGAAGTGTGTAAACCTGGCGATTCACAGACCTGTACCCCTGGGGATAAAAATACATTATATGTTTATTAAATAAATAAATAAATAAAAAACTATCCTGGCACATAAGTAAGGCTAAGGGGTTTTTTCGTTTGTTGCTTTGGGTTTTTTTTTAAGATTTTATTTATTTATTTGACAGACAGAAATCACAAGTAGGCAGAGAGGCAGTCAGAGAGAAGGGGGGGAAGCAGGCTCCCTGCTGAGCAGAGAGCCTGATGTGGGGCTTGAGCCCAGGACCCCAAGATCATGACCTGAGCTGAAGGCAGAGGCTTAACCCACTGAGCCATCTAGGCACCCCTCGTTTGTTTTTTTTAAAGATGTATTTATTTATTAGAGAAGGAGAGAAAGAAAGTGTGAGCGGGGGGTGGTGTGGGCAGAGGGAGAGAGAGAGGTAGAGAATCTTAAGCAGACTCCCCGTTGATCACAGAGCCTGAGTCACAGGACTTGATCCCACCACCCATGAGACCAACTGAGCTGAAATCAAGCGTCAGACACTTAACCAACTGAGCCACCTCGGCACCCCTAGTAAGACTAAGTTTTAGCTATCATTATTATTACCTGCATTGGGATCTGAAAATGATACGTACTATACCTTTATCATGGTTTGCAATTACATATTTATTTATGGGACAGTGATAATGCCTGATGTCTCCATTAAACTAAACACTCACAAGGTCAGGAGCCTTGCCTCATGCATCGCACGCTAAATTTGTGTGGCTGACTCTAGGCATCTCCTATCTCCAGGAGTACATAGGATCACCTTGATTTCCTTTCATTAGAGAGAGAAAAACCCAATCTGGACTGAAGTATCTATGTGTGTATATAGGAGACCAGGGAACTAGCCATAGAAATGTGGGACCACGGGCTCTACACACTGCAGTGCTTTTTTTCGGTGAGTCAAGAATTTAATCATGAAACCAAGGAAATTTCAATAAGGTAGTGAAGTCCATATAACATAAAGATTTTCTAGAATTACAGGACAAAAAGCTCTATCGACAATCGATACGTACAATCATCCTAAAGAGATCTGATACATCATCATCCTTCCATCATACGATTTTCAAAGCTGCTCTACAACCATTGAAATGGTTAATTATCTGGTAAAAATGGGTTTCTCCATCTCTGTGACACTAGCCAGCAGGCTATTACAGTAGTCAGTTGTTTTCGTGGTGACAAGAATAGTTGCACCCTCCTCCATAGCTGGGAGTGGAAAGAAATGGTCAGAATCAACCTTTGATTCAGAATTGACACAGTCTTCACAGGTGCATTCTTCCACTGTATATTCCAGGCTCCTCGAGAGAACTTCCTCGCCATTCCTGCTAGCACGGCCCTCCTCCTGGCCAGCATTCTCCTTGTTCTGGAGAGCCAAGCCTGATCATACAGAAACACAACCATTAACCTCAACTTGCAGGTGGTGAGGTCCTTACAGTCATAGCAGTACACATTAGGGCTCCGAGAGACCGGGGTTGGGGTGGGGGGCTGGCTCTTCCTACAAAACAAATGAGTATGTCCCACACGAGAGGTCACCCACAGACAGACCACAGACCACATTGGATTTGAAGATAGACTTTGTTTAGGCCCCTACAGTGTTTTTAAGTGTTTGCTTACATGTTTTATGTTGGCCCACATTTAAAAAAAAAAATCAAGAGATTTTTTAAAATTCAAGGGATTTCACCAGCAAATCGAGGCAATTGGCCTCTTTAAAAACAAAACAACAACAACAAAACCAACAAAAACAAAAAGAAAATGTGGCAACTTGTAGGTGACATTCCTACGTGGAAACAATTCACTGGAATCACTAGCACTTGTCTCCTTGAGAAAGGGCATTGGCTACTCTACTGTTAAAACCTCCCCCTGGCCCATTGCACTCATTGGTTACCCTCTTGGCCCTTGGAGACATTGAGGTACTGACCCTACTTCACACCCGTGAAATGACCCACTACCATATGTTACAGCACACCAAAATGAGCCTTGGCTGACACTTTAGAATTCAAAGTAAAGATGCTTCCCTTACAGAGCATTTGGTAGCAAATCAAAATTTTTTTATAATGAATCTTTTAGGATCATATAAGGAAGTAGCCTCTATTATGTCCCTATTTATATGCTGGTGAAGGTAAACTTTACTACTTCCCCAGCCTCCCACAGAATAACTCCATCTTCCAAAATGTCACACTTAAAATCACTCCCCACCTGTCTCTCAGAACCCAGGCACAAGAGAAAAAAAAAAAAAAAAAAACTTGAGTAAATTATGGGGAACAGTCATCTACCTCACTTTACTGCAAATGAGGTGCTTTACAGATTGTACGTGGAAAATAAAAGCATCAAGAAATAGGCCAATGGCTGCAGAGTGTTCAGGAATCAGATCATGGGCCAAGGTGCTACAAAAATATTTTTATCTTAAAAACCCTTTAAGAAGAACATTCACGGGACGCCTGGGTGGCTCAGTGGCTTAAAGCCTCTGCCTTCAGCTGGGGTCATGATCTCAGGGTCCTGGGATCGAGCTCCGCATTGGGCTCCCTGCTCAGCGGGGAGCCTGCTTCCTCCTCTCTCTCTCTCTCTCTCTCTCTGCCTGCCTCTCTGCCTGCTCGTGATCTCTCTCTGTTAAATAAATACATAAAAAATCTTATAAAAAATTTTAAAAAAAAAGGTGAAGAACATTCACTTCTCCAAGACTAGGTCTCTGCTGCTTAATAAAGATAATAATCTTTAAAATGACGGCTCAAATCCATTCAGGAACACCTGGTAATTCATCTCTAGCAACGAATAAATTGGAGAATTCAAGAATCAGCCAAGCAAACAGCATTTACAACTGTATTAAAAATATACACGTGGACCTTGCCAAATACATTTTTCCTGATAGCAGCAGACCTGGCTAGCAGTTTCTGAGAGTAAGATGTTTCATCAATGGGCTAACTTTGGTCAAAGACATGGGTGTTTGCCAAAGAAACCTCAGAACCTCAGGAGAGTAATTACTGAGGAAAGAATGCGGGGCACCTGCAAAGAGACAAACCAAAAAGAAGACAGCTCCCTCCTTCCCAAAAGTTCATTTAACACAACTGTCCTCTAACACACCCAAAAGGGCGCTAACCAAATGAATTACTCAACATGGAGGACGGGGGTGGGGGGAAGGCGAGATAGAGAGAGAGATTGAAGGAACTGAAATTCACAACATCCCCCTCTCGGAAACAGATTTCAAAGACTGACCATCAAACCGACCTGTGTTTTTATGTTCGTCCTTGGATGGTTCCGGATTCATCTTCCTTAGCAAGAACATCAACACAAAAACCGTCAAAGAAACGATCAAGCTCAGGCCCAGACAGGTCCAGAGAACCGCATTTGTTCCTTTCACTGAATTAAAAAGAGTATTGGAGAGATCATGAACTGACAACATAATATCCAGATCAAAACAAAGGCTATTTGCCATCCAATTCCCCTAATTCATCAGCACTGACTTGTAAATTCTAAATAACAATGAATTAGAAGACTTGATAAAAATCTCGGTTGCTAATAGCACTGAATAGAATTGAGTTCAGTTCTGAATAATTACTTTGCTGGGTTGGCATTTAAATATTTAAATACTTGCCTTATTTCCTTTCTCTTTTTTTATTCGAAAAGATCTCACCCTCTTCCCCTCCGGAATGTCTATTCTTTGAATAAATAGTCAATGTAGAGAAAATAGGTCACCCCAATGAATTAATTGTTTAAGCAGTATTACTTACTTGCATCACAATAATGTTGACAAGGTGGAGGAGGGGTGTTAGAACATCGAAGGTGACACGGTTTGCAAGCAGTAAGCAATCTGTCAAAATACTCGTTTTGGATGCACTGCTGGGCCATCTGGAAGCTGATCACAAAAAGAAACAAGGAAACCCCAGAAAGAACAGCATGGAAGGACAAGTAAACTCTCATCAAGCGCTCCCCAGCAAAGGTACTGACAGCAGCTAGAATGTCCAGGGGAAAAAAACGAACTTCACCACTATGACTTAGCTCTTACGGGGAGGGGCGGGGGGGCTGGCCGCTTGTACTGCGGCTAAGGATTTGAATACCAGCTCCAATTCCGGTTTCTAAGTTTGAGGCTGGGGTAGAGTCAGAGATGGAGTGTAAATATGAAGGGCAAACCACACCTGAAACAGAAACATCTTATTTATAGAGGAAATTTCTATAAATAAGCCAGGTGACACTTGCAAGGTGTGTAGGCAAGCCTGAGGCATCAGGCAGAGAGGTTCGATAACCACTTCTGGACCATCTGTGTCTGAGCTGTGCTGCATGAGGAGCCCCCAGGGAAACAGATAAGGTCTGTGCCCCCCTAAGAACTTGAAATCTAACAGAGGAGGTAGAAATCCACCCAGCTGCAGGTGTAGTAAGAACCAACGGAAAGTGAAATGGAAAGGGACATCAGGCATGCCTCCCAGGTTTCGGACCTGTGAAGAATAGCAGAATTCCAACAGAAATAGGGATGTCTAGGGTAAAAGCTAAATTGGTAAGAGGGTAGAGGGCAATGATGAGGGAGCAGGAGGCTGACTGAGGACAAAGCAAAAGCTGGCACCTTGCACCCCCTCTCCACCCGCTCCCTTCAGTAATATGTGTGACCCCTGACTGCCATAAACAAGAAACAGATAGTTAACTTGCAGAGATCACAATCCTTCAGGACAGGAATCTCCCAACTATCTTGATGTTAATGGCTTGCCAAAAGACAACATTGATCAGGCCACAAGGCTTCCGGTATCCCTGCACCTTGTAGGCCCTCTTTAGCATATGAAAGCTCCGTTGAAACCCCCCTTTTCCCTCACCTTCCCCCAACCGCAGGGTACTTAACCTGCCATCCCTCACAACCCAGGGCAGCCGCTCTTTCTACCCATGGTCCTGTCCCCGTGCTTTAATAAACCACCATTTTGCACCAAAGATGTCTCAAGAATTCTTTCTTGGTCATCGGCTCTGGACCTCAGCCCACCGAACCTCACCTAGGTTCTAGAACTTCATCAGGCATGATAGGTTTGGGGCATTAGTAATCCATGCTCCACCGTTGAAAATTTAGAAAACTCAAGTGAGCAAATAGAAAAACCATCCCTAGTCCAAGCTTCCAAAAATAATTAAATTTTGATGTCTCACAGAAGTTGCAAACAGGTTTGCTGCTGTGTTCTGTTTGGTCCCTCCCTAATATAGTTCTTTCTGGAAGGTTTTCTGAGGATAGATAGAAAGATAGGGCACGCATATTTTTCCTTTTTACATAAATGGAATCACTTGCATTTGCATTTAACCGTTGCATTAACCCAAGTGGGATACCCATACAGAGATATCCAGAAAGGTCCCTCAGAAATTCAGGACTCAGTTAAAATGCAAGAAAATGACAAACTCCAAATTCAGTATAGTGATTACCTCTGGGGTGCCGACAGGGTCCAAAAGAGACTTCAGCTTGTGTCGGTCACATTTTATTAAGCAGAATGGTTTATACATTGGTACTTGTTCTGTGCCTCTTTCATTTTATTCTTTGTTATTATTGACCACTTTTCGTAGTTTTTCTTAAGCCCAGCACCCAGCATGGAGCCCAACTCAGGGCTGGAACTCACAAACTTGAGATCCACACCTGAGCCAGTATCAAGAGTCAGATGCTTAACCAAATGAGCCACCCAGATGCCCCCACACCTTTTCATATTTTTAAAATGAGACATAGCAAATAATAAAATAATGATAATAACATAAAATGCAGGAATTAAAAGCATTATTATTTTAATTTAATGAAGGGTTTGAGCTTAAAAGACAGAGTGTGAATTCAGATTTTTTTTTTTTTATTAACATACAATGTATCATTTGCTCCAGGGGTACAGGTCGTGAATTCAGATATTGATCAAAACCTCCCACTCCTCCCGGGGTCCAGGCAGTGAGGTACATGGGTGTGGGCCAAGGGCTAACCCAGCCGGTTCCACTCCCTCAAACTCCTGCCCGGTGATAAGGCAGACAAAGGTCACAGGAAGAGCAAGGCTTAGAGAATGGGAAGACAGAGATCATCCCCCGTAAGAGCCAAGCAAGGTGAGTTTCAGGACAGGGTGGGCAGTGAGCTCAAGTTCTACGGAAGAGTCAGAGGCCATGCCCTGAGGAAGGAGGTCCTTGGTTCCCCTTGAGTATGTTCGTGAGCAGAAGCCATATTCTAAGTACTTAAGGAGTCAAGAGAGAGCAAAGCAGCCAAGGTAGGCCCTGCCTAGGATGTCTGCCGGAAGAACACAGCTTTGCTATCTCCTGGGAAAGAAAGCACTCTTGTTTCTGACAGATGTGCTTTGCTTGGGTGTCTGACATCGGGGGTCAAGGGTGTTTGCTGCCTCATCATCTGTATTCACAAAAGCCCATCCATCCATGGGGCCTTGCGGTAGAACACTAGCAGCCATCAAAAAGAATGCACCAGCTGTGTTCTGATGTGCACGATACATCACTGAGTGGAAAATGCTTGTCACCAAGCAAGTGTGTAAGCTGCTCTTCTGTCTTTACAAATAAAGTAATAGGCGGGGGCGCCTGGGTGGGGTAGGAGGTCCCAGCTCCGGTCTTTTTTTTTTTTTTTTTTTAAGATTTTATTTATTTATATGACAGACAGAGATCACAAGTAGGCAGAGAGGCAGGCAGAGAGGCAGAGAGGAGGAAGCAGGCTGCTTTCTGAGCAGAGAGCCCGATGTGGACCTCTGAGGGACCTAGGCGCCCCACTTTTTTTTTTTTAAGGGTGGTGTTTTAGTCCAATCAGGCTGTGACACAAAATACTACAGACTGGGGACTCCTGGGTGGCTCAGTGGGTTAAAGCCTCTGCCTTCCACTCAGGTCATGATTTCAGGGTCCTGGGATCAAGCCCCACATAGGGCTCTCTGCTCAACGGGGAGCCTGCTTCTCTCTCTCTCTGCCTGCCTCTCTCTCTGTCTGTCAAATAAGTAAATAAATAAAATCTTTAAAAAAAAATACTACAGACTGAAGATAATTCTGTTACAGACAACAGAAATATATTTCTCAGCGATTCAGGGTCTGGTGAGAGTGCACTTCCTGAACCTAGGAAGAATCCCAGAATTCGGACAGAAATAGGGAAGTCTAAGGGAAAAGCTAAAATGCCAAGAGGGTTGAGGGTGGAGAGACAACCACCTTTTTATTACAATCCTCCAAGGCAGAAGGGGCAAGAGATCTCTCCAGAGTCTCTTTTGTAAGGACACGGATCCCGATCAAGAGAGCTTCACCCTCATGACCTAATTCACCTGGCAAAAACTCCCTGTCCCAAAACTGCCACACTGGGGACTGGGTCTCAACATGAACTTCCAGCAGACGCAAATATTCAGTCTGTCGGAGAAGAGGCATTGGGAAGAGGAGAGAAAGCAGAGTGACAGGCATGAGCAGCAGAGACCACGGCAAAAGGGAGAAAGATTAAAGATGTCAGAGAGATCCCTGATGGGCAGAGTCCTGCCCGATGCAAGTCCTGAAAGCCAAAAGCACCCAGGGAAGCCTCTCTGCCGCTCCCCCCGGGGCCTGAAGAGCTGCGAAGCCCTGCAGAGGTTGTCCCTCAACCCCTAGGGGCCTCGAGCAGCTTGGAGGCACCCAGGGATTGCTCCACCCTGAGAGAAGTCTGGCAGACCCTCTTCGGCAGGCTACGAAGCCTCTCTGATTTGCAGGGTGGCCCCCTAGGAACCGGGGCCAAGAGGCTCATCTCACTTCCCTCTCATTCTTAGAACATAACCCATCTCCCAGCCGTTTCAAGCCGGCACCGAGAGTGCACCCTGTCGGTGGTCAGCCCAGAGAGGATTTCGAGGAGAGCCTGCAGAGGCTCCCCAGGACAACTCTGCTTTCTTACCTTTGCCAGCTCCGGTGTTCAGCTTGTCCCAGCTCTGTCTTTGATTCTGCGGGCGGGAGGCCTGTGATGCTTCCAGTAAACTCCCTTCCTGGCTTCCATGAACCAGAGTCAGTTTGGGTTGGTTGCTAGCAATCCAAAAATAAAAATAAAATCTTGAACCTCATAACTGATGTTTAGCTGATTGCGCAACTCACGCCCGAATGACAACAACAGATCATGAGTGGGGGGGGTGTCACGCCTTTCCCTTTGCTCCTCGGGATGGGAGTGACTCATTAATTCTGAATCTTAGGGTCAGCTGGTTCTCCCGCAGGACAGGTAAGGAGATGAGGAAACTCGCGCTAAGAGAAGACAGATAAGTGAGAAGAGGTTGGGAGATGTCAGACAAGACAGGACTCTTTTCCAAAGACATGACATAAAATTTTAGCTAAAAAGGAATTTACTGGGATGCCTGGGTGGCTCAGTCAGTTAAGCGTCTGCCTTCTGCTCTGGTCATGATCCCAGAGTCCTGGGATTGAGCCCCGCATCGGGCTCCCTGCTCAGCAGAGAACTTGCTTCCCCTTCTCCTTCTGACTCTCCCCCCTCTCACTCATTCTCTCTCTCTCTCTCTCTCTCCTTCTGTGTGTGTGTGTGTGAGAGAGAGAGAGAGAGAGACTCTCTATTTCTTTCAAATAAATAAATAAAATCTTAAAAAAAAAAGAATTTACCGTGGTTCAGTCCGTTACACGTCTAACTCTTGATTTCAGCTCATAATCTCAGGGTGAGATCAAGCCCCACATTGGGGATTGGATCAAGCCCCAGTGTGGAGCATGCTTAAGATTGTCTCTTCTTCTGCCTCTCCCCTGCTCCTCTCCCTCCCTCTATAGAAAAAAGAAGAGAAAAAAAAGGAATTTACTGGCATCCAATTGAGAAATCCATCCGTAGAATCAGCTTCAGTGTCTTGAGTTTTGTCTTAGGATTCTGGTTTCTCTCTGTCATTTGATTCAGCAATGCCATCTTCTGGGTGTCGCCTTCAGGCTCCCCTCATGGTTACAAGAAAGCTGCAGGACCTCAGGACTTCACACATTCCTCTTCCTTCCAAGCCCTCTCCCGAGTAATCTCATCTGCATCTGTGGTTTTGAATGTGTTAAATTCTTATCCTAGAGAGAGCATATGTCGTCTTTATCAA